TTATTTGTGACTGTCAGTAGAAGTATCTTATTAAAGAAAATACTAGAAAAATAAAGGGGAAATTTAGAAAAAGTGATTTTTTGGTCGTTAACGAGATAGTAAGACCCGTGCAAACCGGGGGCGGGCAGCTAGTACACATAGTAATCAGTCAGAAAAAGTCATATTGGGACCTGTCAGGTTTCGAACCTGCATCTAGAGATAAATCGCAAAAAATGAGAAGCCACCATAATCTGCACCTTATGCAGGCAGAATATAAGACGTTTTTTATGGTATAAGTCGGCAAACGAGTAGACGGATTACCTGATGGTAAGCAAACGAGTGCGTTAACGGCCTTTTGGGATAGGAGTTGTGGATATTTAAGTATTAGGAAGGGATAGGGGAGAGAAGGGATTGGGCCTCCGGAAACCACACTCACATGGCGAAACAGAACACTGTGGTTCTTTTCTGTGAGGCCGTGGTATCACTCCGGTCGAGCCGACTCATTCGTGTCGAAGCTTGGCTGTCTCGCACAGGTCACAGGTCACAGAAAACCGGCGTGAAATAACCACTGCGTTGTGTTTCGCCGTGTGAGTGAGGTTACCGGAGGCCCAATTCTTCCCCTTCCCCAATCCCTCCTCAATCCCTAAATCTCCAAATCCCTAATCCCTAAAAGGTCGGCAACGCACTCGTAACTCCTCCGTTGCGAGTGTCCATGGGCGGCGCTGATTGCTTACCATCAGGTAATCCGTCTGCTCGTTTGCCGACCTATTACATAAAAAAAAAAAAACTTACATACAAGTCTCATTTTCATACGTATTTTAATATTAAGTATGTTTAATGATTACAAAACAGTAATTTGGATGAACGGTCGTTCTTGCATTGTCCTTCGTGTCTGTATGAATTGTAGGATCACGACTGTCGCCTATATTCTGCTTACCATATCATCACGATTCGGTTGCTCCATGGAGAGTTATTGTCTGTTGCTCCAATGAAGGATTTGTCTATGGTGATTGTTATGTGGGTGGGAGACTTCGTTCCTAGCTCTGTGTGGGTTTAAAGACGTTGTTTCGAGTTTATTTCCTATAAAGTAGATTTATTTAAGCAATTTTTTTCTGTATTTTTTCTATGTTTTGTTTTGCTCAGGGTTTTTTTCTTAATGTAGCATAACGATTACCTGATGGTAAGCAATCAGCGCCGCCCATGGTCGCAAAGGAGTTAAGAGTGCGTTGCCGACCTTTTGGAGATTAGGGATTTGGAGATTTAGGGAATGGGGGAGGGGAAGGATTGGGCCTCCGGTAACCTTACTCGCATGCCGAAACACAACGTTGTGATTGTTTCACGCCGGTATTTTAAAAAATCTGGCCACAATGTTTTGCAGTTTGACATTTGCCGTTGTCAAATTGTTGTCTCTAATTATGGAATTGTTGTCGTGGTGGCCCGCAGGTTAAAGCGCCCGCTTCTCATGCATGAGGGTTCGAAACCTGGCAAGTACGAATGTGACTTTTTTGTAGTAAGAGTCTGACACTCCCTCTCGCCCCAACTTGGGGGCGGGAGATGACACTGGAAGATATCACTGCTCCAAAAATACAATTTGTTTACATGGTTAAGTTTATTTTTTTTAATGAATCATATTTTACAATGTATGTTATTCTATTCTATTCTATTCTAACGTATTCAGTTTATTTGTATGTCTGTTACAGCAAAACATAGTGGACCATCTATATCTAGACTATACTAATCTATACTAATATTATAAATGCGAAAGTAACTCTGTCTGTCTGTCTGTCTTTTCTTCACGCCTAAACTACAGAATCGATTTCTGTGAAATTTGGTTCAGACATAGTTTGGAACTCGAGAAAGGACATAGGATAGTTTTTATACCAAATACCTGCAGGAAATCACCATTCCACGCGAAAGGAGTCGCGGGCAAAAGCTAGTCTTTACATACTCAGGTAGTTACTAATATAATTATGTTTAACAAATAAATGATTCTGATTCTAAAATCATTATCATTTTTATGTAGGTACATCTGTTGAATAAAAAAAGTCGTCAACTTTAAAGTTAGTTAACTAAAACAAACAAGTTATCATCTTCAATTTAAGATCACGCGTCGTTGTGAAAGTAGTATTTACCTACCTACCATCAAATCAGCACACAAATCTAATGCGACTAGCCTCAAGACTGCGTTATAATAAATTCAGATGATCACCGCTCACAGTGCGCTCAGATGCGCCATCTTGCGTAATCTGCGCATGCGCCGAACGTCTCTATGTTTGATGGTTTATTGTACATCGATGTAGTGTGTTACTAGAATGGACTATATTATATCGTCCTTAAGGTTATTTTCTTTTTATATTTCTCTGAATTAATATTAGTGTTACACTGTTCTCACATAATTGAACCAACTGTTTGTATAAGGAATCTGTATGTGAAACTGATTTAAAAAGAGTAACCATGGAGTTTGTTGCTTGGATCCATCGGAATCTACATTTTGGGACGAGCAAATAGCTTTACTAAGAGGACTGATCGACAAACTGACAATGTATATCTTCAAAATTATGTTTGACGTTCAAAAGTGCCTCTAAGGTTCTAATTGAAATAAATGATTTTTGTCTTTTTTTATATCGTGTTCAAAAGTACCAAATATACAGCCGCCGTATTTGACGTAGATACTTTTGATTTTATTATAAACACTCTATGATATCACTGTGTACCTACTTTTTGTATTGTCATTATTAGTGTGGGAGAGCCACGATTTGGCACGAATGGGTCGGTTCGACCGAAAAGATATTACGGCATCACAGAAAACTGGCGTGAAATAACTATAGCGTTTTGTTTCGCCGTGTGAGTGAGGTTACCGGAGGCCCAATGCATGCCATCCCCCATCCCTCTTCAATGCTTAAATTAGCTCGCCCTCACTTTTTTTTTAGTAAAATGTAGGATTTTCTTCTGTATCCAGGGTGCGTTTTCAAACTTACAAATTCACATACACTAGCCAACAGTTTGTGGATCACACAATGTTTTTCAGTGCGGGAATCGAACCCGCAACCTGTTGCCCAGCTACTGCGCGAACCGTACAGTCACAGTACACTTAATTAAGTATATATTTTTATAAGTATGTAGGTCTTTTCTTCACGCTAGGATTTTCTCCTATGTCGTGGTTGCATTTACTAACATACACTTCATACCCTGACCAGAAAAACAATTTGTGGGTTTTTAGTCAATAAGAGTTGGGGTAATGTGGGAGGGAGTCTGAAACTCCCTCTCACCTTTCCCTTGATGTGAGAAGACATATGACGATTTTTCCTCACAATATAGAGGTCTTACGTTCGCCTGACTAAAAACTAAGGCCGTCTTATCTAGCATGGCTATATCTTTGTACTTAGGTCAGATTTATAGGGCTAGGCAGAGAAGCTGCGTCAATAAATATAGAGCGAGTAACGTGTGGCGCAATATTACGGCCGAATTACTGACTGACGGATAGATCGAGACTCCATAGCTGTCTAGGAGTTAAGTATATATGATTATACATATATACTAACATACAAACATATAGGAGCACTTTTGTTTTTAAGGGAGAGCCAAGTTTCGACACGATTGGGTTGGCTCGACTGGAGTGATATCACGGCCTCTCAGAAAATAGGCGTGAAACATCAACAGCGTTGTGTTTCGCCGTGTGAAGTTTCAATAATTCCACTCCCCCCTTCTCCCAATCCTTAAATATCCGAAGCCCTTTTCCCTAAAAAACGGCAACGCACTCGTAACTCATTTAGTTTTACAGGTGTCCACAGGCAGCGCTGATTGCTTACCATCAGGTAATCCGTCTGCTCGTTTGACGAGCTGTTAAAAAAAAATCTCCCTTTCCCCTCACCAAGGGCAGGAGACGTCATTCGATGACTTTCCAACACAAAAAATAACTATTTGTACCTGGTAAACGCCAATTAGCTGACTCCAATTTTTTTTTATAAATTTCTTTGCCCCACATTAGGATTTTCTCCTGTGTCGTGGGTGCGTTTACAAACATACAATTTCACATGCACATCACACCCAGACCCGGAACAACAATTTGTGGATCACACAAAGAGTTGTTCCGTGCGGGAATCGAACCCGCGACACGTTTCACGACAGCCAGTTGCCCAGCCAGCGCGCCAGTGCAGTTTATGAAATGACTGAGTTCTATGAAATGCATTTACCTAAGCATTAATTACTTCCAAATACTTCGCTCGGGATCTTTTATAAAAAAATAGTAGGTACAACCTACTAGGTAATGTATATTTATAAATAAAACATAAATGTTATATAATAAATTCGCCAGCTTCTTTATTTAATTGTATTTATGTTGAATCACAGTAATTATATATAAAGAAACAGTAAGTAAATGTATCTAATAGTATATACCAACAATTCTTATATTGGGCACTTGCTATTATTAAGTAAATTACATAATAATAATAATATTGATAGTCATACATAATAATAATAATAATAGCTTATTACATTGATAACCCTAGCGATCCTTCCCGGCTTCGCACGATGTGTGTTAAAACAAATTTTCTCCACTATTTAATGGATGTTTTAATACATGTAAACCTTCATATTCAATCACTCCGTCTAATTAAAAATTGCATCAAAAATCATTGCGTAGTTTTATAGATTGAAGCATACATAGGGATATAGGGACAGAGAAAGCGACTTTGTTTTTTACTATGTAGTGATAATAAGGTATTATTTACTGTGACGTGACAACGTTTAACAACTATGGGCTGTATGAACGAAAAAAATGACGTCACTGTCCCATTACGCTCATTGTCACGTTACGCGAGCGAGAGCGATGCATGAATGAGAGAGATGCACGATCGGTTTGTGTTACTGTCAGATGTTAGGACCACGTCATCGACTATATTTTTTTTCTGAATTTAAATAGGTAAGTATAATTACTAAGAGAAAATATTTATCGATATTTTATAAATTTTACATAGTTATTAATAAGTATATTTAGGTAAATAAAAACATATTTTTTAAACAAGTACCCAATAACGTTTATGTAATTATTGACAAAAATAAATTCATTTTAATAATTATTAAATTATTATTCATATATCTACATTATTATTCAGATTTACCACAATATGTTTAAGTTTTTCTATTTTATTAAAATAACAAAATTTAATAAAACGAAAATAATATAATTAATAAAAAAATATAATAGGCAGACTCGATTCTTAAGGTGGTTACACACTGGTAACGAAACGCTGCGACTAATCGCACGACGGACCAGCCGCCGGATTGTCTTAAGACTTGCTTTAGACGATAATATTTCATAATTTATTATAGTTAGAAAAATGTGATAAACGACTCTAAGCAAAATGATCCTTACTGCAAAGATTTTAAGACACAAATCACTTTAAACAATAATTAGGCAATACATTTTTTATATTTTATTACCCATATCATTATTAGGTGAAATGGAAAGAGAGAAAAATGAGTAGATTGAAAAGAATATTTAATAAAAAAGGAACCTAACATAATTTCAAAATTCATATTAGCATGTATGTAGTTCGACTTTGGACTTTTGACATTTGACTTTAAAGTTTTGACTTTTGACATTTGACATTAGACATTTTGACATTTTGAAGTTTGACTTTGACATTTGATATCGTATTAAAATCGCAGCGTTCGTCGCGCGCAGTGTGTTGCGGCCCTAATATAAAAAAACTTATTTAGTACCAGGAACATCCAGTTAAGTATACTCGACGCTATGCTCTTGTCTGTTTGTCTATCCGGCCTGAAACAAATAGAAAAAAATTATAATTATTTAAAGAAAAACAAATCCGGTTTAAGAGAGCCATGCTTGGGCAAGAATGGGTCGGCTCGACCGGAGTGATAGCACGGCCTCATAGAAAACCGGCGTGAGACAACCACAGCGTTGTGTTTCCTTCATCCATCATAAATCTCCAAAACCCTAATCCCTAATTGGCCTACAACGCACCTGTGGTGTTACGGGTGTTTATGGGAGGCACCAACTGCTTACTATCAGGTCATCCGTCATCCTTCAGGAATATCCTCTAAATTCCATAAGTTACTTGTGAAAACATTAACTTTAGTTTTTTTTAATAAATTTAGCATGTCCCACTTTATTTACAATTGAAATTCACGTAAATTTTTAGCATTCTAATACTACAATTTTTATACTATTTGCTCATAGTTATTAAATGAATTGCAAGGGTGAATAAAAAAACAAAACAATTTTTCAATGTACTTACTTTAGCTGGATAAACGAAAGTCTTGGCGAGTTGTGAGCCGAATACATTGGTGGCTTGGCAAGTGAACTCGCCCATGTCGCTCCAGCGCAGTGACGATATCACTAGCTCGCCTGAACGAAGCACCTGGGAATAAGGAAGGAACAAATTGTTATTTATATAAATATGGATTTCCAACAAGAAAAACACAGTACAAGAATATTTATATGAAGAGCAGAATATAAAATATGATAATGCTTTCTTTTTTTTTATTTCAAACTTAACAAAAGTATTCTATGCCTGTGCCAAATTTCATTCAGATCCGTCCAGCCGTTTTGGCGTGATTGAGTAGCAAACATACAAACATCGTAACTTTATAATATTAATTATCTATTATAGAAGAAGAAAGAACGTGTGAGTGAGGTTGCCGGAGGCCCAATCCCTCCCCCTCCCTCATCCCTTCCCGCAACGCACTTGTAACTCCTTTGATATTGCGGGTGTCCATGGACGGCGTTGATTGCTTACCAACAGGTAATCCGTCTGCTCATTTGCCGATCTGTACTACCATAAGAAAAAAAACACTTACCCTCATTCTAGAAGAATCTTTCCTAATTGGGATTCCCTTGTTATCCCGCCACGTGACGTGGGGTTTGGGGTGTCCCTTGACCCGGCATGGCAGCACTATGTTGTTCCCAATCGTGTCCACGTACATTTCATAAGTGACCACGATACGAGGTTCAAGGGGTAAAAGTTTTGCACGTTCCGACGGTATACTGCTGCCATCTGTTGGCGAGTAGAGAGAAGTAATTACAATTTGATGAGAAAAAGTTTTGGCTTTGGTTTCATAATTTTATGCCGCTTCATTAATTACTGCGTCAGTTTATAATATATTAATTGTATAGTTTTTTTAAGTGTATCGAAGTCGGAAATTCATTTTTTAGTGACTATTAAAGTCAAAAGTCAGAAAAAATATGCTTTTACAAAATTATTTTGAAAATAACCAACACAAAATTGGTATTGGCAAAATCTTAAAACGAACTTTTAACTGGTACAAACAGAAATAGGTTGGAAATCACAAGAAAAGATATTATAATCTTACCTTTTTCATAAACAACAGTGGTAGCCCTAGCAGTTTTGGCGCCAGAAGACACGAGGCACGTGTACACGTCATGTCCCGTCGTCCTCGTTACCAACAGGGTCGAAATGACCCGCGCAAGAGAACTTGGGTTGCTGTCTATTAATTCATTTGATTCTACGTCATACTGCAAAGAAAAATTTCCATGTTACATAAGAAAGAAAGAAAGAAAGAAAAACCATTTATTACGTACATGTGCTGCCATCTTGTGTGGAGTAGAAGAGTTATGGTTAAACTATTTTTTTTGTTCAATAAGGTATTATACATCTAGGCTGCTTTAGTTTAATTATAGTAAAACAAAATAATTATATATAATTATGCATGTTCTAAAATAAAGATTTGTTTGGACCTGTTAGGAGTTTTTTTTTTCAGAATGTCCAAAAAGTTTAAGTTTTATTTTATTTTTGCAGCAGACTTTATTCACAATAAATTATGCTGAATAGGTAGTTGATGCTATTTAAACTATAAACTATTATTATATAATGATTATATATCGTATATGAACATAATATTACATTTCTTACCTCATAAACCGGAGCGTCATTTTTAAACCAGTGTATAGAGGGCGCTGGTACTCCGACCGCGTCACACGTTAGTTCAAGCATTTCGCCGTGAGAATGCGTATAAGTAGCTTCGGGACGCTGCGTTATCGTGAGAAAGCGGCGGGCGCCAGATTGTAAGCTGTTTTGAGCTACTGAAAAATAAAAAAATGATTTTATAATATATCGTTATTTAAATAGGTTATTGAACGTATTTATTTATGAAAATTTGAAAGAAATATTATGTTTAGTAGTTCCTCTACTGTTTAAGAGATGTCGCTATTTACTCCTAGACTTGTAAAAAGCAGTTTTTTTAATGATAATTTAATTACTTAGTTTTATTTTGAAGAAAAGTGGGTTATATTTCAAACTACTTACACGACCTACCCTACTTCGTCTACCCTGCTTTACCCTTCGCACAGAAAAAGGCGGAATGATTTTTTTTAAGGTTTTATCTCCATTACAAATTATCAAATTGGTAATGCCTATGCTACAAACTTCGCAATTTTTTTTGTCAATGGTAATTGCTAAAGGACGGTTCTACACAGGTGGCTTGCTTACCATCAGGTTATCCGTGTAGGTACTCGTTTGACGTCCTATCCAATGACAAAGTTGCAGCACTACAGTTACTGCTTAGCCACTTTGGGATTTGTAACTGATAAAGTTAAACCAAACTAAATCATATTATGCCTTGTCAGATCACGTTACGTTACATTACGTTATTTTATCGTGCCGTGGCGTGTCGTGGTGTACCGTATAGTGACGTGTCGTATTGTGTCGTGTCGTGTCGTGTCGTGTCGTGTCGTGTCGTGTCGTGTCGTGTCGTGTCGTGTCGTGTCGTGTCGTGTAGTGTCGTGTCGTGTCGTCGTGTGTTAATGTTATAAACTTACCATTATGTTCAATATTATTGTCTAAGTCTGAGAGTAGCCTCATGTGTTTGTTGACGTTGGCGGAGCGGCTCACGCCGAGCAGGGACGCGGTGAACAATAACACCAGATACATTCTCAATAAATTACTAAACGTATGGTATAATACTGTAGAGATTCTTGTTGGCGAGTTATCTGAAACAATTGGAAAATTATCTGTTAGATACAGTGTGAAAATATATAAGTAGGTATAAAAACTTGGGATCGTCAAAGGGAGGTAGGCAACACAAAATAAGGACAAATTCACACTAATATACGTTGATCCTGTAAGTACTATTTTACGGAGACGCGTTTTAATAAATAAGGCCTATGTATGGCCCGCTAAAGAACCTAAGCCTTTTTATGTCAGGGGTAAATCATCAAATGACCTCTTCCACTCAGGGTAAGGCGAAAGAGTGTCAGATTTTTACTGACTAAAAAGACCCCGTTCCTTCTCCTGCTCTGGGCCGAGGCCGCGGTGACTCATTGCGCTTAACCCGCAACCCTAAAAGTATCATACTAAGAAAGCATTTTTACACTGTAATATCCTAGCGCCTTCAATAATGTCTCTACTTATTCCCGGACGTAGTAAAAAGCGTGATACTTATCGTACGTATCGACGTAGTCAATAGAAACAAAATCGCAAAATACATGTCTTTCCAAAAAATAAAAAAACACTGTTACATGAGAAAGCAAAAAAAAAAAAAATTGCAAAATTCAAATTCTTAGAATGACCTTCGACAACCGTCCTCCTTTTAAGTTATTGTCACGTTCAAAAACTAACAGATAACAAAATCTAATGTCATTCAAAACTTCACAGAAATATAAAAGCGCGCGAAGGTTTTTTTTTTAATTTTACTTATCTAGAAACGTAAGAATTTTTGGAGGCGTGGCAGTGTAGTAAAAAAAGGGTCTCCCTGTGAGTTAAACCAGAGTGATTCATACCGCGGACACGTTAAAAAGCAATAAAGTGATCCCTTTTTAAAGGAATTTTTATGTACTTCCGCTTAGCAACAGCTTCGGGACACTCGAATTTGAGTAAATCTCGACTTGTAACTTCTATAAGATTTTGAAGTTATTTTTTTTTGTGATGTTTTTTTTTATCGTCAATTTGAAGAGATTGTTTGAAAGCGCTAACCTCTGAAACTACTGGTTCGATTTTAATGAGTCTTTTTTTGTTGTATAGTTCTTTTATTGAGGAAGGCTTTAAGGTATAAAATATCACGTTTCTAGTTACAGGGACTGAAATTGTACGGGAGTAGCTAGTTAATATTGTAAATACGAAGTTGTGCTTCTTTGTTTTAGCTTTTCGACGTTCAAATTTTATTTTTTCTGTCTATAGCTTACTGTTAGGTCTAAAGCCAAAATGTGGAGTATTTTAATTACATAAGCAAATTCAAACAAATAATTATATATGCGAAAGTAACTCTGTCTGTCTGTCTTTTCTTCTCGTCTAAACTACTGAATATATTTGTGTGAAATTTGGTACAGACATAGTTTGGAACTCGGGAAAAAACATAGGATTTTTATACCAAACCTATCTGCAAAAAGCCACTATACCACGTAGTATTAAAATATAGTTACAATTAAAAACATAGATACCAAAAAGCCAGTCCGAAAATAGGTCATCTTTTATCTATCAACAATTTAAATATTACCGTCTCTTTCTTTTCATTGTTCAAAAATCTGCAGAAAGTCACTATTAAACGCGAACGAATGCTTGTATTAAAATAAAGTTACAATTAAAAACAGAGATACCAAAAAACCCACCGTAAACTTTTAAGCTATGTTAAAACTACAGCATTAAAGATAAAAAAAAAATATTCATTTTCCCTACAAAAAAACCCGAATTGGTTAACTGGCACTTAAAAATATCTCACCGGACTACTAATAACAATTCTGACGTATATTTTTAACTGTCTATTGTTTGTGTAATAGAATCAATTATTTTCGTACATGTTTTAATTTATCAATGAATTCTTATACGTCACTGGGAGTTCCCTTAACGAGCTTAATACGTCATAATATTGTAGTCTAATTATATATTTATTATGTAACTAGCATTAATTGAGGTCTGTGCCTAATTGTGGAAAGGCATATGAATATGACAGAAGTTTTGACTGGTAGTTTTTGTAGTAGTTGCTGACGCGTTTATTGAAAGACTGAAGGTTTAAATTTAAATTTATTGACTATCCTACCATTTTTTACCGAAAGCAATGGTTTTGTAACGCACTTACGTATGTGTGGGGGAGCCAAGCTTCGGCACAAATGGGTCGGCTCGACCATTATGATACCATGGCCTTACAGAAAACCGGCGTGAAACAACCACAGCGTTGTGTTTCTCCGTGTGAGTGAGGTTACGGTAGACCCAATCCTTCCCTTTCCCTTATCCCTACCCAATCATTAAATATTCGAAACCCTATGTTAGATAGTAGTTTTTTTTTTGATTGGGAAAAATTAGCAAATGGCTTTTCCCGCTCTGGGTAAGCCAAGAGAGAGAGAGAGAGAGAGAGAGTTCACACTCAGTAAGAGTGTGACACTGTCTCTTGGCTTAAAACATCCTGATCTCGAACTCATTCATTTCTTTTCTAATTTAAATCATGCAGTTTTTGCCACATAAGAGTTCCAATTCTTTACCTCTTCACCATCCTTAATCCTAAAATCCCTAAAAACCCACACGAGCCCGGCAACGCACTTGTAGTAAACTTATCCTATGGTACTACGAGTGTCCGTGGGCAGCGCTGATTGCTTACCATCAGGTAATCTGTTTACCCCTTTGCCGACCGACGTCATAAAATGGCCACAAAACTTCGTAGCTATATTAAACTACACTATTTACTTTATAAGAACATCGAGTAGCCACCAGAATCTGCACGTGTCATTGCAGGAAACGACTTGATAATAAAAGATAAGCTGGTTCGAACTGGTCGCTGCTTTTTGTAAATGATAAGATTAAATGATGACAATGGAGTTCTGTCTGTATCTTTAAGAATCAAATTCAGATACATATCTTGGTATATATTTGTCCAGCTTGGGTTGCGGTTAGCGCAATAATGTATGTATAACGTCCTTGGCTTAGAGCAGGAGAAGGTATGGGGTGGTTTTTAGTCAGTAAGAGTCAGATATCTCCTCTCGCCCCATCCAGGATGGATTCATTTGATGATTTAGTTCCAGAAATCGTGGTTATAACAAAGTAAAGGGCATTTGACACATACAGGATTCTTCCTAAAGCAGTCAAGCAGAGACCGGGCAGCAGAACTCTTTGATAAACCTAGTCTTTTGATTGCGATCTGAGGACCCTCTCGCAGCAAGCTGGGGTGGCCCGAAGGCACCAGCTTCACACACATGTGGAGGTGGGTTCGAAACTGGCAAGTACCAATGTTTTCATTTGCATTAAGACACTCTGGACTTATAACATAGAGAAATTAACCAATTGTTATTTCTTTATTAAACTAAAAAAGCCTTTATTAAACTTTATACTGAAGCGTTTTTAAATGAAAGGTTTCTCTGAATTAGATTATACCATTTTATTTATTATTTTTCGTTATTGTATATTTTTTTTACAAAAAAATATTATATGAAGTCTTTCTTTCTTGTACCTTTAACACTATCGTGACACCCAGGTATTAAATGAATTAAATGTAACGGCTTACTAACGTGAATTAATTGGGCAAAAGCTTTTCTGGTTTCAAATCACAACGGGACTCTCTTATTTAGGAGCAGCGTGCACGTCGTGGCTACCTCGCGAAGTCGACGGTTTTATTTCAGACCTAGTGAGTAAGTCGTTATTTTTTAATTATTAATTCAATTGAAATTGTGAGAATTGTTTTAAATTTAAAATCATCAATCTCTGGGATTGAGAGCTTACTTTCCTTAGTCAAAATAATTCGATTCTATTTTTAAATGTTAAAAATCACCAAGACGATATTTTGGTGTTTTTTTTTATTAATAGTTTTTATCCTAAAAATGGCGTCTCAGCGTAATATTTTTTTTTCAATTTTCGAATAGAATTCTTTGATTTGAATTAAACTCTCGCGACTGTCACTTAGAAGAGACGGCCATTTGCAGAACAGATTAAATTGGACGGTTATTTATACGTACATACTTATAATAACGAACAATTCTATGCATGTCACATAAAACATACCAACCTATACAAAATGTGATTAGAATTATAATACTTAATTGTATATTATGTAATTATGATGATATCAATAAGTGAATCATTTGCGTGTCATTTAATAATGTTAACTATGACTAACTGCCGTACTGATAGACTTCTTCTAAGTGTGGGAGAGCCATGCTTCGGCACGAATGGGCCGGCTCGACCGGAGTGATACCACGGCTTAACAGAAGACCGGCGTGAAACAATCACAGCGTTGTGCTTCGCCGTGTGAGTGAGGTTACCGGAGGCCCAATCCTTCCCCACCCTCAATCCCTAAATCTCCAAATCCCTAATCCCTAAAAGGTCGGAACGCATTCGTAACTCCTCCGTTACGGGTGTCCATGGGCGGCGCTGATTGCTTACCATCAGGTAATGCGTCAGCTCGTTTGCCGACCAATTACATAAAAAAAAAACTTAATGATTACTTAAAGTGTACTTAAGTTATGGTTTTGTTTTGATCACCATTGCTGAGGATACAGAAGTAGATAACCGTGACTCTGAGTATGGCGCGTTTCAAGGGATCGGATTACCTGATGGTAAGCAATCAGCGCCGCCCATGGACACTCGTATTACTAAAGGAGTTACTACAAGTGCTTTGCCGACCTTTGTGGATTATTAGGGCTTTAAGGATACGGAGATTGAGGATAGGGGTAGGATTGGGGATCCGGTAACCTTATTCACATGGCGAAACAAAACGTAAGTATTGTTTCACGCCGTTATTCTATGAGGCCGTGCCGTGGTATTACTCCGGTCAAGCCGCCCTATCCGTGCTGAACCATGGCTCTGCCACAATTGACTTGAAGTTGTCATCCAGAAAATCATACTAATATTATAAATGTGAAAGTTTTTGAGAATGTATGGATGAATGTTAGTTATTCTTTCATGCTAAAACGGCTGGACCGATTTAATTGAAATTTGGTATGTATGTAGATAGAATATCAACTTCAACATATCACGCAGACGAAACCGCGGGCGGAAGCTGGTATTGTAT